CTTCTGTCCGGGTTCAAGGCTTTTATCCCCTTCCCTGCTCTTCCAGCCTGCTACTCTGGCGTCCCTGCATTGTCTCTCCTCACCTGTAAGCCTGGGGTTCTCAATTTAACAAATGCACAAAAACCATGATTATAAGGTCTCTAATAATTCTTATGAATCATATGATGACATATCTATGATAATACATATCAGTCGACTCGATGGCACATAACACCACCAACAACAATGTGTATATTATATAAAACACTAATTTTACCAATTCATTGAATCACACACAAGATTTTATTTTGTTACATGCTATATTTTTTGGTTTGGGTCTTTTTTTTGATAGTGTAGTGCCTAAGGCACTTGACTGCTAACCAGATGGCTGGCGGTTCAAACCCACCAGCCACTCCTCAGAAGGAAGGATGGACGACCTACTTCGGTAATGATATCGCCACAGAAACCCAAGGTGGAGTCTCTATGAGTCAGATTCGACTCAACGGCAGTGAGTTTTTTTTTTTTAATAGTTTATTAATGTAACTAAATGTAAAAGACACATTATATAGTTTGTTTTAATCACTTATTGTAAGACAAAAAACTTTATTTGGGCTTTGTCTTTGGTTGCAGAAAGATAGCCCTTGGCATTTCCTACGAAATCAAGATATCTTTGTTATCAAAAGTTCTGGTGGCATAGTGAGTAAGCATTTCACTGCTAACCAGAAGATCAGCAGTTCAAACCCATCAGCTGCTCCATGGGAGGAAGATGAGGTAATTTATAGCCTTAAAAACCCACTGGGGATCACTATTAGCCTGAATCAACTTGATGGCACTGGGTTTGGTAAGGGTTTTTTGTTTTGTTGCTATCTAAACCACCAAGCAACACTTAAAATTTTGTGAAAATGATTGGGGGCTACCCAGACCACATCCGATTAATTAACCTCAGGAATGGATGGGGCCATGAGTCAATCAATCTAATCACTGATTCAATCAATTATGACTGTCCAATGAGGTCCCAATGACTATGCAATGAAGTCAATAAAGAGGTTTGAACAGGGAAGTTCCTTGGGCTCCCTGGATTGGTGAAAAGATCTGCAATCAGGAAGGCTGCCTGCCCCTGAAAACAATGGGAAACCTCACACTGGGATATTCCTAGACATCACCCTGTATGTCTCTTCATTTGTATCATTTCTGGCTATAATAAATAGGTAACTGTACATATAGATACTGTATGTGAATTCCGCAAATTGTTCCAAGAAATTATCAAACCCACAGGGGCAGTGAGAGCCAGCAAAGGTTAGTGTTGGCTTATTTGGTAGTCTGAAGGACTGCGTCCTTTTAATTTATGTGTTCTGACCTATGTTAAAGTGCCTAGAATCAGAGAAGGGATCACATGGTGCAGTGAATTGCTTGATGTGGCCCTTCTAGCCATTGTCCTCCATTCTGTGATTTATTGCAAATCCTATTATCCATGCCTGTTTGGGGTGGTGTGGTAGTTAAGGTCAGGTATCAACTCGGCTGGGCAGCTGATAGTAGCCATTCCCTATAATGACTGGCAATCGGCCCTGTGATGGAATATGCCTTGAGCTGCTGATTGTTAAAGCCATCCACTTAGGTTATTGCTGTTGGAGCAACACAGGTGGAATGTATCTTGAGTCCTGCCTTGCTGGAGGCTATAATTCAAATCACCACCCTTAGCTTCCTTGAGGGTATACCTAGGAATCTCCTGGGAAGGTTTGCCCTCCTCTTGCTCATTTTGTGTTGTGGCTCATCCTCATCTCACCCATGGATTTGGGACAGCAGCTGTCATCTGATCCTCCAGACCCACTCATGGACCTGGGACTTGCCAGCCTACCAGCCTCCACCACTACTACATGAGACGATCCCTTGGGTGTCTGTGAGTTCTGTGAGGTGTTACAGCAAAATACAGAACCCTAAGATGGGGGAAATTACTGGGAGGAGGAGGAGGAGTTAATGTCTGAAATGATGAAGTGGCATGGTATTTTGGACATTTGGGACATCTTTAACCTCCGCCTCATGGGGACCGGCCTTGTGCTGATATTTCTGAGAGAAATTGTTCAAGAACATGGTCTAAAATAAAAGAAGTCATACAGATTTTCAAGGTAGCAGACAATGTCCACTGACTTGGCCCTGGATGGCTGGGGATGAGATAGTAGGGAGCAACTGGTCTGAATGCAGGAAGTCATGTAGACCCCCATGCTTGAGGGCTGATATCCCTTGATGTGGCCCTAGGTGGGCAGGGATTAGGGACTGTTGCTTGCACAAGGAGGATGAGGAAGTGGGAAGGTGAAGACTGTATTCATTTCCAGGTAGGAATAGATTCCTGCTGATCCTTACCACATAGTTAGTACTAAAGTGGGATTTGCCCACCATGCCTTTGCTTAATGTACTTATGCATAACATAATAGTTATACAAATATTACCTTGAAAAATTAAATAGAATTATATATGGAATACTTATACACAAAGGCTTCCAATATTAAACTTGTATTTCGTATGGCCAAGTTAGAAGATAAATCTGGCTAATATAAGATAAGGCAGGAACATACTAAAAATTGTAAGACACTTTGGCAAGATTCTTACTCTTTGGCTCCTTACTATGTCAGCGAATAGAAATTAAAACACCAGTTATAGCAATAGCATGATCAACTACTAAGCTAAAAGTTTACAGACAATTATACATATAGCTTTTTCTCTTTTTTTCTTCCTTTCTTAATTTTCCCTTGTTATATTTTACCAAAATATTAGGCTCAAATTAAGCAAAGCCAACACATTTACCTAATCATGAAAAGCATTTAATAAGTCACTGCTTCCCAATCACTAAAAAAGTAAAGATGAAGAAAAACCACTAATACTAGTAACAATGTCCTGGGAAAAAAAATGATGTCTTATTTATAAAAGGGAAAATATTGACATTAAAAATACAGAATAATCTGTACTGTTACTGTGCCAGTATATAAATAAAATATATAAGATTAAAATTTAAGATATACAAAATCAATTCACCACTACATGTACATTGTAAATCCTTACCTGATTTTTTTGTGTTAATTCGTTAACTAAACTTTTAAGTTTTTGTAGTTCTTGCACATATACAGCAACTTCCTGGGGACCTTTGGCAAGTTCACTCCTAAGCTGGCTTATTGTGGCCTAAAACAAAAAAAAAAAAAAATAGAGGAAACTGAAATGAAAAAAAAAAAATAGTCATATATAAAGGTATTAAGATTACATAGTTGTTTTTCTTCTTGTTCTTAAATTGAAATAATCCTTAGAAGTTTTAACTTGCTTCTTCATCTAACACCCCTATTGCCACCTGACAACTTTTTTGGCTGCCAACTAATTTTTTGAATTTTTCCAAAATGTACCACCTCACTTATTTAATAATACATGAAATGAAAATGTGGCATCCTACTTTGTGTGTGAAATAAGCATCAAATTGTACTTGAATTTACTGGCTTTTAAATTCTTTAATTCTGAGTTTAAAGAAAATATACAAGTATGTCTACATATACCTTCTCCAATTTCTATAGTATTGCCTTTTACTTGCACATAAGAAATGCATATATGCAAACATCAAACATAGTTTGATCTTGGTGACTCATTTTTTTCTTTCTTTCTCTGAATTTAAAACACTATTCTATCCCTTTAATCTATTTAACTTTATATTGTGATTTGGGTGAAGTTTTACAAAGCAGATTCATTTTACATTCAACAGTTCATACACACTGTTTTATGACACTGACTACAATCCCCACAATGTAAGAGTCTCCTCCCACTTCCCTGTGGTCACCTTTTCCCTGTGCCCTTCTAGCCTCTGCATTCCTGCCTCTCTAGCTTTCTCCTTGTGCAAATGCTGCCCTTCTGATCTCCCATGGTTGATTGTTCTAGGGAGGACATCTCCCTGGTGTAGTTGTTCAGCTCATAGGCCTATCTGTTGTTTGGCTGAAAGTCTGCCATAGTAGTGAGTCCAATTCCAGGCCTGAAGGGTGACGAGGGGCCATTATCTTGGGGGTTTCACCAGTCTCTATTTGATGAGTAATCCTGGTCTTTTTTTTTTATGTTTTCTGTTATTGTTTTTAACTCTTTGTTCCCCATTTTTTTCCCATTCTATCCAGGACATCCAATTTTCATCTCTTTCCAAGTGGTCAACAGTGATAGCCAGACACCATCTAATTCTTGTGATCTCAGGGTCATATAGGCTGAGGTTCTCATGGTCCATTAGCCCTCTGGACCAATTGTTTCCATGTGTCTGATTTCTTCACTCTTCTTTGCTCCCAACAAGGAGAGACCAATTGTTGCATCTTAGATGGCTGCTTGCAAACTTTAAGGACCCAAGTCACTATTCACCAAAATAGGATGCAGAACAATGTTTTTGTATACTATATTGTGCCAATTGAGTTTGATGTCCCCTACAACCATGGTCCTGAGCCCACAGGCCCACCAACTCACTCCCTCAAGGAGGGAATCACTTCTCTGATTATGATAAAAACACACTTGTCCAAATAAGTTAACAAAATGAAATTTCATATAGTTTCATTAAGCTGGATCGCTCTATCATCAGGTATAATAGCTAGGTATGAATTTGCTTCAATAAATTTGAACATCTTTTTAAAATATAAAAATTAATATCTCTTATCAAAATAATAGTTTGATCATTTAAAAAAATAATATCAGATAAAGATAGGCAGCAAAAATCTTAGAAATAAAAAATCTCTATATGCGAATGCCTCAGCCATTAGAAAAAAAGATTATGTATTACTTTTTAGGTATGGTTTCCTGAAAGTGGCAATAAAGAACTTTGTCTTTCTAATATTGCTTTACTGTTTATATTCTTAAAGTTGCAATTACGTAGCGCCTAAGGTATTTGACTGCTAAACAGAAGCTGGCGGTTCAAACCCACCAGCCACTCCTCAGAAGGAAGACTGAGCAATCTATATCACTTCAGAAACCCAAGGAGGGGTTGCTATGAGTTGGCATTGACTTGACGGCAGTGAGTTTGGTTTTTGGCTTTATATTCTTATTACTAAATAAATATTATAATATGGTAGAGTTATAAATAAGGAAATTTCTTTATTAATAAACACACCAGCAGTCACATACATCATACATTATTACAAATGACTGCCTTTGCCATTAAGGGAGAAAGCTATGAAAGCTACTAATTTATTGCAACAATAACACCACTGCTCAAGAGATTTTTGCTACTTTTCTTCTGGTCACCCAGAGTGAGTGGCACTTTTTTACTTTCTGTTTTTTAAGGCTCCTTACTGGTGGTGTGGAAGCTATGGTAGCCTAGTGCCTAAGGCACTTGACTGCTAACCAAAAGGCTGGCGGTTCAAACCCACCAGCCACTCCTCGGAAGAAAGATGGGGCAATGTACTCCCGTAGTGATACTACCTCAGAAACCCAAGGAGTGGTTGCTATGAGTCAGATATGACTCAACGGCACATAACAACAACTGGTGGTGTATCTTCATCCATTTATAGTATTTTTATTTGTGAGTACTGGGAGAAACCTTGTAAAAAAGGTGATTGGACTGTAAGATTAAACCTTTGGCCTTATTTTAATAACCAGAAACTAACTTTTTTTGGTGTTTTCTAAACCGGTTTTAAAGTTTCAAGAATGCTGTCATGAATGACGGTATGGCTGAGATATATGCATAGTCTGACCTTTCAAGGAGAATATTCATTTAAATGTACTAATTCTGGTATACTGAAAAGATAATCTGTCCTATTATTTATTAGTTAACACCTTTGTGATAGTTAAGTTTGTGTCTTGGCTGGGCCTGTTGAGTGGCTGGGCAGCTGGATGTAGTATTCCCCATGATGAGGAATGATTATGATAAAAACATATTTGTCCAAATAAGTTAACAAAATGAAGTTTCATATAGTTTCATTAAGCTGGATCGCTCTATAATCAGGTATAATAGCTAGATATGAATTTGCTTCAATAAATTTGAACATCTTTTTAAAATATAAAAATTATTATCTCTTATCAACCCCATGGTGGAATCTACTACAGCAGCTGACTAGCTGCTTTGGGTATGTCACCTGCTTCCTGAATATAAGAGACAGCTTTGGGAATGGTCTCTAGTATGGCACGGCTGAACCCTGCATGTAGCGTGTCATTATTTAGCACCCTGCCATGCTCTACTGACCTTGGGACTTTCAGTGGACTTGAATTAATGGCCTGCCATGTGGTTTGGTAACATTGGGACTGTGCCTTTTTGTCAACCGTGGGCTTGTCAGTCTCAGCAGCCAGTAGCTGAGTGAAGAAAAGCCTCCAGCTTCAGTGGACCGGGAGTAGGAGGCAGAGCTTGAAGCCCAAAGTTGAGGGGCTTTCACCCAGCCCCTAGAGCCTGGCACTTTGAACTAGGACTTAAAGCCTCCAAACTATAAGAGAATAAAGTCCTGTTTCTTCAAGCCATCCCATGTGTGGTACATTCTTGTCAAAGCAGTACTATGGAGCCAAAACAAGCTTATACAAAATGCTTCAATATAACATAATTACATATTTTTTCACATACTCCAAAGAAAGAAAATATTCACGTATTTTTAACTGTGTTCAAGATAAAAGTCTATCCTAGTATCTTCTGCTTTAAACAGATGGAACCTTGATATGGATATGGGCAGTGGCATAGTGCCTAAGGCATTTGACTGCTAACCAGAAGGCTGGTGGTTCAAACCCACCTACCACTCCTTGGATGGAAGACTAGGCAATCTATTCCCGTAGAGATACCACCTTGGAAAATCAAGGAGGGGTCACTATGAGTCAAATCGACTTGCTGGCAGTGAGTTTGGTTTTTTTAAAGAACTTTGACACTCAGAACCATTTTCTGTTAGTAACATATGTATGTTAATAGATATATTAGGAATAATTCAGCTACTTTAAATTATTATGTTTTAATAATTTAGCACATATGCCAACTTACCACAAAATAATGTAAATATCACCTTTAGACCTCTACTTATAAATATCAAAGAATTTAGTACAATATCTGACATACAATATACACAAATACGTAACAGCTTATATTAAAATGCAAATTATGTGTATATTTCATTGAAACATAATTCCACTTCAAAGTATATAAAATACAGTAAGCCACATATAACATCTAGCTAATATCTAACTTGTTAATAAATTTCAACAGGCAAAGAAACTAAATATGGAAAATGTAAAGCCAAAAGTTTTTATACGTCCTTTAGGTGTTAGCATTATGAAATCATTTTTAAGAATAAATTTAAATCATTTACCGTATATACATTGTTTGACCTCCATAAAGGGATTCAAACTTTGAGAGCAAGTACTCTGTTCTAACTGACTTCTGTATTCCTGACACCTAAAGCAGTTCCCAGTCCACAGTCAAGCATATGAGATCAAAAGAATAGCATTTGCCCAGGGATAGAACTAGGAAGGAAGGAGGGGATGGAAAGGAAGGCCTCAGGGAAGGGGTGGGCACAGGGAGAATGCTGTTACAGTGTGGGGATTGCAGTATATGTCACAAAACAGAATGTGTATGGATTGTTGAATGAAAAACCAATTTGCTCTGTAAACTTTCACCCAAATCACAATTAAGGGAAAAAAAAAAAGTCCCTACTCTTTAGCAAGTACTCAATAAATATTCCTTAAAGAGACAAATCATTCTACTTCCAAAGAGTTGAGAGATAGTTGTTCCTATGGAAATAGTATTAGACCTTAATAAAGTAGTGTGCATGTCCTTAAAGCCTTATTATTGAATTCAACACTGAATTTTTACTAAAAATCTTAGTCAAGGTAAGGTTTACATATGGAAGGAAACTTTCTTTGTTGGTTACCAGGGGTGGGAGGTGAGGGGAGGGAACACTGCAAAAATAAATAAATGATCCTCTTAAAAATCTTTAAATTACAAAATCATTAAGTAAAAGTCTTTCAAGCAACCATCCTGCAGGTGCTTTAGAATTAAAATGACTGAATATTCTATTACTATTACTAAATGGGAGCTCTGGTAGTGTAGTGCCTAAGGCACTTGACTGCTAACCAGAAGGCTGGCAGTTCAAACCCACCAACCACTCCTGGAAGGACGGTTGCACAATCTACTTCCGTAGTGGTATCTCCTCAGAAACCCAAGGAGGGGTCACTATGACTCAGGTCCAACTCGATAGCACATA